CAGTCACTCAGAGAAGACACTCAATGCAACTACTCAACACAGTCACTCAACAGTCACTCAATACAGTCACTTATCACAGTCACTCATAATAGCTTCTTAGAACAGTCACTCAGAGAAGACACTCAATGCAACTACTCAACACAGTCACTCAACAGTCACTCAATACAGTCACTCACCAGTTCTTCCTTGAATCCATCGTTGTTCTCAGTAACATGGAACATCGTTGAACTACTCCTGATGTTCTGGTGGACGATTACGAGTACTAGAACTGGTACTACCACACAGGACACTTTTAGGAACAACTGTATGAGAGAGAGAGAGAGAGAGAGAGAGAGAGAGAGAGAGAGAGAGAGATTAATAATAATAATAATAATAATAATAATAATAATAATAATAATAATAATAATAAAAATAATAATAATAATAATAATAATAAATATATAATAAATAATTACATGCATTATTTGCCAGCGTTAACAGCACCGGAAGTGAGAGGAGACAGCAGGAGTTCTCTTACAGCAGTCAAGACACAGGTTGTGCAGCAATGGACACAGCAGCGGTCCTGTAATAATAATAATAATAATAATGCCATTGAACAGCTGAAGTATACGTACCATGACGTTAACCTGGTCTAACACTAATTTAATCTAAAGCTAAATTTTTTAAGCCTAGCCGGGGGGGGGGGGATAATAATAATAATAATAATAATAATAATAATAATAATAATAATAATAACAATAATAATAATAATAATAATAATAATAATAATAATAATAACAATAATAATAATAATAATAATAATAATAATAATTTAATAAATAAATAAATATAAAAAGGAAAAAAAAGAACAAGTGTATCAAGCAGTATTCAGTAGTATGTTGTGTTGTCATTAGTAAAAGAAACATACATACAAGTACAGAGACAGGTTAAAGCATCTTAACCTGTACTCCCTCTAGAGACGTAGAGTGAGGGGCGACCTGATCAATGTGTATAAACGGAAGTCAGGGCTAAACAAAGGTGATATAACAAAGGTACTCAAACTATCCATCCAGGAGCGAACTCGTAACAATGGTTTAGATTCAGGCGCGGGATAGGTAAACATTGGTTTGGAAATAGAGTAGTGGATGAGTGGAACAAGTTACCAAATATCATCTTTAACTCGAACACGCTGGATATCTTCGACCATAAGGTGGACGGATATATGAGCGATAGGGGGCTAGGTGTACACAGGCTGCTTAGTATGAGCCAATATGCCCGCTGCAGTTTCCTCCATTCTTATGTTATTATGTTCTTTTGTAAGCTAACACTTTACCTAAAGTACTCTATTTACACTTAATTTACATTTACATACCTGTGGAAGAGTGATGAGATGAGCAGGTATGCACGGCTGTTACCCAGGTGAGTACACGTAGTCAACTGAAGGGAAAGACGAGAGAATCCGTGCATTCTGTAAAACACGCACCCTCATGGCAACGTCACACTTGCCATATTTATTCCTCATTTTCCACAAGTTATCATCTTTTCCAGAGTGTATCGCCCAGAGTAATATTTCTACCTGACTGTATGCTGTTAATGACGAGAGAGAGCAAGCACACCTGTTCCTTCACTCAGCAGGTGTGGGGAGAGTATAGTGTCCTGCACAGTGTTCTCTTTAAAGGGGTTACACTTTATAGGTAAGGATAATAATAATAAATAATAATAATTATTATTAACAGTTTATTGAGAAAGTTCAGCAGTCCGATGGCTGAAAATATACATTGGACAAAAATTGAATTGAATTGAAACAGTTTATTTAGCCAGAAAAACACAGATACAGAGTGGATAATAATAACAATATTAACATAGATGAGCCATGGAAGTATTATGTAACATTTAGTATCATCTGGAATAGTACAACAGCACGTGGCACCTCAGCGTGAGTGCGTTGCACCTGAGTGTACCCTAGGTGGCACCCTAGCGTGCACTTGGTGTGTGCAATAATAATAATAATAATAATTAACGGTTTATTGAAAGAGCCTGGCAGCCAGAAGGCTGAAAATATACAGTTACATATTTGGGGAATGGGTTACGAATTACAAATAATATACAAGTAACATAAGTGATACAAATAAGATATATAATAACTAGATGGGGAAAAGCTCAAACTACAGTGCATTTCAACATAGTGACAGTGCAAGAAGTAGTATTTACTGGGAGTGAATACACTGGTTTATTACAAGTTATTGATAATTTTTACAATGGTTGGGACTGGGCTGTTCTTATAGCGATCAGTTCGTGCACGTATGGGCTGGATGCGGTTGTGGTGTCGAACAGCAATTCTCGGGCTAGGGATCTCAGGTGGTAGTAGGAGCCGGTGTCGAGAATGGTGCAGAAGCTTCTTACCAAATTTGCAGATGAGTTCGTGGTGATGGTCAGCGAGAGTCGAGAGGGTCAGTGTGTTGAGCGCTTCTTGATATGTGGAGTAGGAAGGGGAGAGAATAATCTTGCATGCCCTCTTTTGCACTTTTTCTAGGTGTTTACGTTGTGTGGCATTTAGGGAGGAAGACCATGTGTGTGTGTGTGTGCCGGCTCTCACCTGTCCACCACCGCGGATATCGATGAAAAAATTCAACATCGGATCAGATGTGCTTGGCAGAACACCATCCAAGAAGGTGTCAATACTTTCGAGTTAGCCTGACTGCAAACCGAGGCAAACGAAAGCCAACGCCGGAAATACGTTGCCGCCGCCCCTCCCGCACCAGATGTAGCCCTACACATGTGCAATATCTGTGAACGACACTGCCGGTCCTGTATCGGCCACTTGAGTCACCTCAGAACTCACCAACGAAGGTGACATCCTTAATAACTCATGTCATTTTATTATAGCTGGATGATCGTCATACTTGATTCCGAGTGACAGCAAAGTACCAGTAGTGTGTGTGTGTAACAATAATAAAAATAATTAACGATTTATTAAAAAAGTTCTGCAGCCCGAAGGCTGAAAATATACATTGGACATAAATGACTTATTACATACATTGGTGGTTTAACAAAAGCCTTCATTAGAGAAAGGTAAAGGAACATACAGTGAACATACAGATTAATGTAGGTGTTCAACAGCAAACACGTAGTGCAGTAACTCCCTCCCAGATGGTGTTAGGAGGGACCTCACGTGATGTAGTAGTTCCCTCACAGATGGTGTGATGAGGGACTTGACGCGGTGTAGTAATTCCCTCACAGATGGTGTTATGAGGGGCCTGACTTGGTGTAGTAATTCCTTCACAGATGGTGTTATGAGGGGCCTGACGTGGTGTAGTAATTCCTTCACAGATGGTGTTATGAGGGGCCTGACGTGGTGTAGTAATTCCTTCACAGATGGTGTTATGAGGGGCCTGACGTGGTGTAGTAATTCCCTCACAGATGGTGTGATGAGGGACTTGACGCGGTGTAGTAATTCCCTCACAGATGGTGTTATGAGGGGCCTCACGTGGTGTAGTAATTCCCTCACAGATGGTGTTATGAGGGGCCTCACGTGGTGTAGTAATTCCTGTATGTATATTATGTATGTGCTCCATTTATATACACTATTTATTCAGCCTAGCAAGCAGCGTGTGGCAATGTATTTACCATGTCCCACACGCTTAATTAATGTGCCTGGCGACATATGGAAGCTGCTAATGTATCACTTACCACATGTCGCCCGAAAGGCTAGTTGACCCCGATACAGAGTAAGGAGCGCCACCTTCCTTGTGTACATATCTGTTTATCCAGTAAATAGAACCTACGAAAACTCTACAGGTGTTTGTGTTCGCTCCTGTAGATAGAACTTGATACCTAGAACACATGCAATTCCCTCACAGATGGTGTTATGAGGGGCCTCACGTGGTGTAGTAACTCCCTCACAGATGGTGTTATGAGGGACCTGACGTGGTATAGTAATTCCCTCACAGATGATGTTATGAGGGGCCTCACGTGGTGTAGTAATTCCCTCACAGATGGTGTTATATGAGTGAGGTGTGGTCCCAGTCCTTCCTACTGTAGACGGATTAACACATCTCTGATTGTTGTTGGGTCTCACGGGCCGTTATCACTGGGTACCTGGGACCTCACTGTGTGAAGGTTAAGTTGGGTACGACTGTTACTGTTGAGTTGTTCTCACTGACTTACGCACTGTTCACCACTGTTCACCTCTGTTTAACACTGGTTCCATTCCTTTCCTAAATGAAATTGTAACTTCTGGCGAGAACTTGTTGATATTTCGGTGGGGAGGAGGGTTCAGGGAGGGCGTTGGTATGGGCCAACATAACAGTTGACCTGGCTGCTCCCAGAGGAGCGCCAGGTGCGTCTTGACCCTTCGGTGGTCAAGGAGTGTGTGTGTGTGTGTGTCTAAGGTAGATATTTACATTGAATCAGGATTCTAATCTAACTTAACCCAATTTAACGTAACCTAATTTAACTTAATCAAACTTGACTTAACCTAAATTAAACCTAATCTAACTTCACCTATTCTAACCTAACCAAAGCAACCAAAGTCCATGTTGAAATGAAGAAGAGGGAATGAAACAGAAGACTAAACGAGATAACCTTTCAAAAAACCTAATCACTTGAGGCGGCCAGCATAGGTCTTGCCACCAACAGCACTCTCTAGGTCCATTAATGTGTGTTACTGAGGGATTTACAAAGCACTTTATATATGACAGCGGTTACGGTGTTATCACCCTCTCTGTGTGCCATGGGTGTAGCTGCTGCTGTGGGTGTGGGGGAGAAGGGGGAGTGTGGGGTGAAGAGGGAAGGGGAGGGGGATAAGTGGGAGACGAGTAACCACACACACAAGAACGACACGAAGCCTGTCATCATAACACGTAACATTACCTGGTCCTGATACACCTTGGATCACGTAAGGCAACATCTCATAGTGTGTGATTTTCTACACCGAGGGAGATGATAAACACAAAGTTCTAGAGATAACGAGTCAACGAGTCATTAGTTTATCAAAAGTTCTGACTCCGTGAGATATGAGATTGAGAGGCTCAGAAACTGTGTTCAGACAAAATCAATAAGTTGGAACAGTCGGGTATAAATATGGTGAGGTGTCTACTGGCGGTGGTGGGCGTCCTACGGATGTTTGGAGGGTTTCCTTACACTTGGAATTCCTCCTCGTCTCCTACTTTCACCAGGAGGACGTACCTGGTCGCATGGAGTGTGATTTGTGGCCTCCTTGCCGCCGTGTTGGTATTCCTCCCTGTGTCCCTCCATAAGGCAGATTTCCCCGTCTTAAGCAAGGAGACGCGTAGGACGTCCCTCACCATCTCAGTTAACATTTCGTGGATAACTGTCGCAGCTCTGCTTAGCCACACCATCTGTCACCATACCAAACTGTGTAAGCTGCTTCAGTCTGTATGTCAACTACCTTTCGTCGGTCATCAACAAGGTTTCAGTAAAACAGGATTAGTTGTTTGTGTCTCAACACTGTTAGTTGTGGCTGTATGTCAAGCCGGCAACTTGATGGTGGGTTTGCTTTTTCACGAAAATGTGCCCCCAGTAGTCAGAACTCTCCTGCTTGTGAGAAAGTTCACCGTTGACAATGTCGCATATATTGTTCCACTCTTGTTCCACTTAACGCTCACACTCTTGGCAAGATCACTCAAGATCGCCTCGTGTACTTGGCTCTTTCCTTCGTCACCACACAAGATGGAGTGCGACCCAGAAGCTCCTGTAGTAATAACACATGAAGACCAGACCAACACCTCCTGTGGTTATATCGCTTTATCAAGGCAGGAAGACCCGACAACTTTTATATTCATCCAGAACGAGTCTACTTCACAAGAAACCTTCCATGAACTGAGCCTCACAGACATCAGGATGATGAGGAACTATGTGCTCACCTTCAACGTGGTTCTGGAAGACCTCCTGGGGTACTTCCAGTTGCCTGTGTTGGTGTTGTTGTTCAACGACTTGGTGCTCATCACCACCAGGAGTTACCTGCTCATCGTCAATGATACCAACATCTTTACTGAGTGTCTGAGTATCATCTTTGGCTCAGCGAGTTTCACGAGGACGTTACTGCTCATCATCTCCCCGAGATACATTGTAAAGCAGGTAAGTGGCGCTTACCTGCGTGCTGGAGAACCGCTGTGTTAAGTAATATTGTTGTGTGTGTGTGTGTGTGTGTTACCTTGACAACCGCCCTCTGGTGTACAGAGGAGTCACAGCCTGGCGTCACTGTGTCTCCGGCAGTGAAGGCTCCACCACGAAGTACACCGAGTGGCACCATAAAAGGAAACGCCGAGAACATTGTCTTAATGTTACTATGGTTTGTCGAGATTTGAGGCAGAGGAGTGAGTTTGGTGCCTGTGTATAAGACCAAATTTGATTTTGTTTATCATACTAGTTGCTCTGTTTTGTGTGTACATGTGGTGCAGTAGTAGTAACAGCATAGTTGTACACATAGACACAAGCAGTACAGCAGCACAGTTGTTCATAAAGACAACAACTTAGCAGCGGCGACAACAGCCTACCTGGACAGTGTGAGTGTTCCAGGATGAAGGTGGTGTCGTGTCTGCTGCTGGTGACGAGCGTCCTGCGGGTGTTTGGGGGGTTCCCTTACACCTGGACCTCCTCCTCACCTCCCAAATTCATCCGGCGGAAGTGTCTGGTGGCGTGGACTGTGACCTACACGCTACTAGCCACTGGTCTAGTGGTCATCTCCCTCACACACTTCCACTTCCAGGACTTTGGAGTTACTAAACTGATCATGAAAAACACCTTGAACGTGCTGAATAAATCTTGGCTGTTCTCTATCTTCTGTTTGATCGTCTACTCGTCTTACCGACACACCGACTTGGTACAGATCCTGGAATGTCTGTTCAGGATGTCTGTGTCGCCACCCCACCGCTACCGCCTTGGAAAGAACGAAGTGGCCATAGTTGTATGTGCTTTGACGTTGGCTGTGTTGCATCACGTCGCGTTTCTGGTCCTCCAACTGTGTATCATCGACTGTATGGCATTGGAGAGCTCCATTATCTTCATGGTATGTGAAATCTTCCTGGACGCCATAATGTTTATGTTTCCTCTCCTGCTGTATCTCGTGTTTAAACTAGCGGCATGTGTCTTAGACCACAGAGTGTTCCTTTGTTCCTGCTGCACTAACACAAACAGAGAGACTCACCAAACTACACCAGGAGACCATGAGATAAATATCATCCCACACTACTCATTCCTTCCTCACCATAAGACGAAACCTACCCTACCAGCCCACACACCGACAGAAGCTACTAACTGCGCAGAACTACTCGGTGGTCACCATATTACTACACAGGATCTTACTGACCTGAGGAACTACATCTTCGACTACAACACCATCTTAGAGAAACTGGTTACCTACGTGCAGTTCCCGGTAGTGGTGATGCTGGTGAATGAGATGCTTTACCTTACCATTACCAGTTACTTCGTCATCACGGGAGACACCACCATCGCCTCCTTATGGACAGGACTTACCTTCAGTTTAGCTAGTTTCCTTCGCCTGGCGTTAACAGTCACGTCACCACAACACGTTACTGCCAAGGTATGGAAAAATATCTTTTGTGAGATAGATAGATAGATAGATAGATCAGAGCATCGTCCACATATCTGAGGGTTGGCGACCACAGTCCTCCTCTCTAAACGTTCTCAGGCTGTTTTTACCACCCCATTATGCCACCCCAACCACCCATGTCACCGCCCCAACCACCCATGTCACCTCCACTAACACCATGTCACCGCCACTAACACCATGTCAACGCCATTAACACCCATGTCAACGCCACTAACACCATGTCAACGCCACTAACACCCATGTCAACGCCACTAACACCATGTCACCGCCACTAACACCATGTCAACGCCATTAACACCCATGTCACCTCCACTAACACCATGTCACCGCCACTAACACCATGTCAACGCCACTAACACCCATGTCAACGCCACTAACACCATTTCAACGCCACTAACACCCATGTCAACGCCACTAACACCATGTCAACGCCACTAACACCATGTCAACGCCACTAACACCATGTCAACGCCACTAACACCATGTCACCGCCACTAACACCATGTCACCGCCACTAACACCATGTCACCGCCACTAACACCATGTCAACGCCACTAACACCATGTCAACGCCACTAACACCATGTCAACGCCACAACACCATGTCACCGCCACTAACACCATGTCACCGCCACTAACACCATGTCACCGCCACTAACACCCATGTCAACGCCACTAACACCATGTCACCGCCACTAACACCATGTCACCGCCACTAACACCATGTCAACGCCACTAACACCCATGTCAACGCCACTAACACCATTTCAACGCCACTAACACCCATGTCAACGCCACTAACACCATGTCAACGCCACTAACACCATGTCAACGCCACTAACACCATGTCAACGCCACTAACACCATGTCAACGCCACTAACACCATGTCACCGCCACTAACACCATGTCACCGCCACTCAACACCATGTCACCGCCACTAACACCATGTCAACGCCACTAACACCATGTCAACGCCACTAACACCATGTCAACGCCACTAACACCATGTCACCGCCACTAACACCATGTCACCGCCACTAACACCATGTCAACGCCACTAACACCATGTCAACGCCACTAACACCATGTCAACGCCACTAACACCATATCAATTTACAGAGGCAAGACATCGCACGACGCCTCCGTAGGTACAAGATGAATCCTGTTCCACCCTCAGTAAAGGAGGAGGTGAGTGTTGCTTCCTTGACCTGACATGACCTGATATGACCTAAGATGACCTGAGATGACCTCAGATGACCTGAGATAGCTTGAAGTGTCCTACGTCTTAAGCTGACTTGTAGTGACTGACAGTGACCTAACATGACCTGTAGTGACTGACAATGACCTAACGTGACCTGTAATGACTGACAGTGACCTAACGTGACCTGTAGTGACTGACAGTGACCTAACGTGACCTGTAGTGACTGACAGTGACCTAACGTGACCTGTAGTGACTGACAGTGACCTAACGTGACCTGTAGTGACTGACAGTGACCTAACGTGACCTGTAGTGACTGACAGTGACCTAACGTGACCTGTAGTGACTGATAGTGACCTAACGTGACGTGCTGTGAGTGAAAATAACTTAAGATGACTTATAGTGAGTGAAAATGACTTAACCTAACCAAACCTAACCAAACCTAACCTGAGTTGTCCTTTGTGTCTTAGGCTGGTCACGTGATCACGGCCCTGGAGGACAGTCCTACGTTCACCATCTACGGTCTCTTTGTCCTTGACCGTCATTGTCTTCTGTCCGTGAGTTTATTGTTATTCATTAAAGTTTAGTTAGGTTAGGTTAGGTTAAGTTAGTTTAGTGTGTGTGTGTGGATAAAATAATCAGGTAAGTACAGTATAGAAGGCACAGGTATAAATCAGGTACAGGTGTGGTATAGATCCAAGTAGATGTCAGGTATAGGTACAAGTGATTACAATCTTGTATTTCAGATCGCCAGCTTCGTGACCACCTATGCCATCATCGCCTACCAGCTGGAGATAGGCGAGAATACCACTACCAATACCACCACAACCACCTGCCTGTAACACGACACTCTGCCAGCTGTACTCTACCACCACCGCCAGCTGTACTCTACTTCCACCAGCTGTACTCTACCACCACCACCAGCTGTACTCTACTTCCACTAGCTGTACTCTACCACAACCACCAGCTGTAATTTCTACTATCACCGCCAGCTGTACTCTCTACTTCCACCAGCTGTACTCTACCACCACCACCAGCTGCTACTACCACCACCACCAGCTGTACTCTACTATCACCGCCAGCCACCACTTCCACCAGCTACCTACCACCAGCTGTACTATCACCGCCAGCTGTACTCTACTTCCACCAGCTGTACTCTACCACCACCACCAGCTGTACTCTACTATCACCGCCAGCTGTACTTACTACCACCAGCTGTACTCACTATCACCGCCAGCTGTACTCTACCACCACCACCAGCTGTACTCTACTATCACCGCCAGCTGTACTCTACTTCCACCACCAGCTGTACTCTACCACCACCACCACCAGCTGTACTACCACCACCAGCTGTACTCTACCACCACCACCAGCTGTACTCTACCACCACCACCAACTGTACTCTACCACCACCACCAGCTGTACTCTACCACCACCACCAGCTGTACTCTACCACCACCACCACCAGCTGTACTCTACCACCACCACCAGCTGTACTCTACCACCACCACTCATCAAACAACTACCTCACTCATTACCAACTTCATAAACAACAAGTCTACTATCGTCTGTTTGCCTCCATTCTCTATAATGTCTTGTGATAGTGATGGCGTATAATAGGTGAATTATCGATTATACCAAGTTATTATCAGTTATTCATGACGCTTGTTTGTAGTAATTATCTTTCTCTCTCTTTCTCTTTATCTTCGTCTGTCTGTGTGTTTCTCGGTATCCGGCTTTTTTCTGTATTAACAATGGATATATCAATCACCCGAATGGATAATTGGGTCAACAGTGGTGAAAATTGTTAAATTTAAAATATATATAAGATTGTCAAGTCTTAATAAATAATATATTAGTTACCCAAAAAACGTTTTTTCTTATGTATTCACCAGAGAAAATTTATATATGGGTAACTTATTCATTTTATAGAATGTTATTGAAATTAAATAAATATATATATAATCTCACTAATTTAGCATTTGATATAATAATAATAATTATAATAATAATAATAATAATAATAATAATAATAATAATAAAAAATAATAGTTGAAATTTAATAAACAATTTACAGGTACAGTTACAACGTGTAATAATAATAATAATAATTAACGGTTTATTGAAAAAGTTCTGCAGCCCGAAGGCTGAAAATATACATTGGACATAAATGACTTATTACATACATTGGTGGTTTAACAAAAGCCTTCATTAGAGAAAGGTAAAGGAACATACAGTGAACATACAGATTAATGTAGGGTTGTACGTGTTGAACAGCAAATACGTAGTGTAGTAACAAAGAAGAATGACAAAAATGATCCATAATATTAGAAACCTTCCATATGAAGAAAGACTGAAAAGCTTAGGCTTACATTCATTAGAGAGGCGTAGAGTTAGGGGAGATATGATAGAGGTGTACAAGTGGGTAAGTGGGATTAACAAGGGTAAAATGGAAGATGTTCTGAAGCTCAGTAATAACGAAATAACTAGAACAAATGGCTTTAAATTAGATAAATTCCGATTCAGAAAGGATATAGGCAAGCACTGGTTTGGTAATAGAGTTGTGGATATGTGGAATAGGCTACCGAGTGCTATAGTAGGATCGGGGACGCTAAGGAGCTTCAAGACGAAGTTGGATAGGCACATGGAAGTGCTGGGATGGGTGTGAAAGGGATCTGCCCTGCATGGGCCAGTCGGCCTCCTGCAGTATCCCACTTTCTTATGTTCTTATGTTAGGAGGGACCTCACGTGGTGTAGTAATTCCCTCACAGATGGTGTTATGGGGGACCTCACGTGGTGTAATTACCTCACAGATGGTGTTATGAGGGTCCTTACGTGGTGTAGTAATTCCCTCACAGATGGTGTTATTAGGGACCTGACGGTGTGGTAATTCCCTCACAGATGGTGTTATGAGGGACCTCACGTGGTGTAATTACCTCACAGATGGTGTTATGAGGGACCTCACGTGGTGTAGTAATTCCTTCACAGATGGTGTTATGAGGGTCCTCACGTGGTGTAGTAATTCCCTCACAGATGGTGTGATGAGGGACTTGACGTGGTGTAGCAATTCCCTCACATATGGTGTTATGAGGGACATGTGGTGTAGTAATTCCCTCACAGATGGTGTTATATGAGTGAGGTTTGGTCCCAGGCCTTCCTATCGTAGACGGATTAACACATCGCTGGTTATCATGGGCCGTTATCACTGGGTACCTGGGACCTCACTGTGTGAAGGTTAACTTGGGTACAACTGTTACTGTTGAGTTGTTCTCACTGACTTAAGCACTGTTCACCACTGTTCACCTCTGTTTAACACTGGTTCCATTCCTTTCCTAAATGAAATTGTAACTTCTGGCGAGAACTTGTTGATATTCCGGTGGGGAGGAGGGTTCAGGGGAGGGGGTTGGTATGGGCCAACTTAACAGTTGACCTGGCTGCTCCGAGAGGAGCGCCAGGTACGTCTTGACCCTTCGGTGGTCAAGGATGTAGTGTGTGTGTGTGTGTGTGTGTGTGTGTGTGTGTGTGTGTGTGTGTGTGTGTGTGTGTGCGTCATGTATGTGGCAAATTATATAACAATTTGGTCAGTAATGTAAAGAAATACATAAAAAATAGTTAAAAAAATCGTTGGTTCACCTTATTATAACACATCACAACACCTCACAACACATCACAAAACACCACAGCACTTCACAACACATCTCAACACGTCATAACACATCACAACACAACACGTCATAACACATCACAAAACACCACAGCACTTCACAACACTTCACAACCCATCATAACACACATCACAACACATCACAACACACCACAACACGTCATAACACATCACAAACCATCACAACACACCACAACGCACATCACAACTACTCACAGTACTTCACAACATATCACAACATATCGTAACACATTAGAACATAAGAACATAAGAAAGTGGGATACAGCAGGAGGCCGACTGGCCCATACAGGGCAGATCCCTTTCACACCCATCCCAGCACTTCCATGTGCCTATCCAACTTCGTCTTGAAGCTCCCTAGCGTCCCCGATCCTACTACAGCACTCGGTAGCCTATTCCACATATCCACAACTCTATTACCAAACCAGTGCTTGCCTATATCCTTTCTGAATCGGAATTTATCTAATTTAAAGCCATTTGTTCTAGTTATTTCGTTATTACTGAGCTTCAGAACATCTTCCATTTTACCCTTGTTAATCCCACTTACCCACTTGTACACCTCTATCATATCTCCCCTAACTCTACGCCTCTCTAATGAATGTAAGCCTAAGCTTTTCAGTCTTTCTTCATATGGAAGGTTTCTAATATTATGGATCATTTTTGTCATTCTTCTTTGTACTCTCTCCAAAGAATCTATGTCCATTCTATAATAAGGACACCAGAACTGAACCGCATAATCCATGTGTGGCCTCACTAATGCTAGGTAAAGTTTCAAGATAACGTCAGCAGTTCTGTTACTCACAGACCTAGATATGGAACCCAAGAATCCTGTTTGCCTTGTTGCGAACGCTAATACATTGTTTTCTAGGTTTCAAGTCGTTGCTAACAAATACACCTAGATCTTTTTTCACAAACTGAGTTTTCTATTTCCGTGTTACCTAGTTTATACTTAACGTTTGTATTCGTCTTCCCTATCTGTAGTACCTTGCATTTATCAGTATTAAAATTCATTTGCCAGTCTACTGACCACTCATGTAAGGTATCTAGATCTCTTTGAAGGTGTTCAAAGTCACTGTCTGAATTTATCACTCTCCCCATTTTGGTATCATCTGCAAATTTACTAATCCTACTAGTTATGCCTAAATCAAGATCATTACGAATATAACAAACAGCAGAGGGCCTAATACAGATCCCTGGGGAACTCCGCTGGACCGCACCCAGTCTGACTTTAATCCATTTATGCTGACTCTTTGTTTCCTACCAGTTAACCATGACCTAATCCATTTTAATACTGATCCACCTATTCCATGTGCTTCTACCTTCCTTATCAATCTCTCATGAGGGACTCTATCGAATGCTTTACTGAAATCTAAATAAATTATATCATATGACTTATCATTATCTACCGCTTCAAATACTTCTGAGAAAAAGCTAAGCAAATTTGTGAGACAAGAACGTCCCTGGGTGAACCAGTGCTGAGAAGAATGAATTAAGTTGAATGTTTCAAGGTGGCTTCTGATTTTTGTAGCAATAATTGACTCTAGCAACTTGCCTATGATTGACGTGAGACTAATGGGACGGTAATTTGATGCTATTGATTTATCACCCTTTTGAAAATCGGAACTACATTTGCAAGTTTCCAAGCTTCTGGCACTAGGCCCGATTTTAATGACTTATTAAATAAAACTGCTAATGGATTACTCAACTCATCTCTACATTCTTTTAATATTCTAGCATATACCTCGTCTGGACCAGGCGATTTATGAGGCTTCAGTTTGTTAATTACTTTAAGCACATCGTTACTAGTAATATTGATATTCATCAACATATTTTCTATACTGTCGTTATATACCTTATGAACTTCTGGAAACTGTGCTAGGTTTTCATTTGTGAATACAGAGCGAAAATGACTATTTAACGTACTACACATTTCTAACTCATCATCAGTCATTTCTCCTGTCGTAGTTTTAAGGGGACCTATTGTATCTCTAACCTTTGATTTATACAGTTGATAAAAAGCTTTGGGGTTATTTTTCGATTCGTTTGCTACCTTGATTTCATAATTTCTCTTTGCTTTCCTAATTTCTGTTTTTACCTGTCTTGTTAGGTTCTGATAGTAACCAAGTAAGTGATTTTCGCCTTTCTTAACTTTTCTATATACTCCTTTCTTTTCCCTAGAAGATCTAAGAGTCTATTATTCATCCATTTTGGTTGGTTCCGTATCGATCTGAATTTTCTTTTAGGGATGTGTTTATTTTGAGCATTATGGATTGTCGCAATAAATTGTTCATAAGTAGCTGCTAAATTAAATTCGGGGTTCTCCCGTCCTAAGTTGACAGTTTCCGGAGGTGTGGGGGGGATTAATCTTTTGACCATAGGGTCATCCCTT